CTACGCAGGCAAATTAGTCATCGTTTGTTAATTAGCAAATAACTGAACACTCTGTTGGACACGTGCAAGCATGGCGAGACCTGTCTGATCGGTGAATAGCATTGAGTAAATTGAAGTAAATTCATCGTTATGGGAGGGGAGTCAGATCACACGTTCACCAGTGTTCAGCTGTAGCCTGATGTTGAGCACACCAGCAGCAGCAGCAGACAAGCCGATACGCAGTACCGAGCACCCATCCATACGCTCAGGATAGATTGCAGTCATAATTTATGGGGAAAAAGCTGAAGACCAGCATTCAAGAAGCAGTTTAAAGTGAGGCCAATAGAAAAGCGGATATAGAATTGATATCATCTCCTAGCCGGAGACTCCGACACTGCCTATCATTCTATTAGGTATGGGTGAAGGAGACATTGAAGGCATATAGGATCTACTCATGTAAGACTCTGACAGTCAGAGCCATGTGGAGTGCCCATTCATGGTGAGTTAGTTCGTCTGCGAGGTTCTCTGGAAATATGCCCGCTTTTTCGTCTGCGAGGTGAAAGCTAATCTCAGAAGTGTTTCGGAGATTGGCATATGCATATCTAACCACTTACACGCGAGCGTACTCAAAGGAAATGTGCCCCAGAGAAAAATAAGTCTCCCACGCCACTTACAACGGGAGGTGGAGCAACGAAGTCAAGTAGACTCTTCTATGAAGTAGGTGTCGGTCTCGCTACGATCTGCCCTATCATTGGACGTGATCAGATGCAAACACTCTTCCCAAAAGAGTGGGACGGCATACAGCACGAGGTCGGGAGCGGTGGAGGGGGTGATGGTGCTCGTATATTGCATGCGCACCTGTCCCACAAGAGGCGGCACATGCGAGAACAGAATATAACTCACATCGAAAACTCGGAATAACTTCGACAGGAAATGGCAGCGCAAGGTTGCCTGCCTCTTAATGGAGACACGGCTCAATGCATTGCTCGAGACCTTGCTGCCACACACGCCAGCAAATGGCATGCAGAATGTGAATTGTTGGAAGAATATCATTCAGTGGGTGTCACATATGTCTCGATGCTACCTTTGTGGTCTATCCTCTGAAATTTGCTGAACAGTTCATTATATTAGTACGCCATAGTCGTGGGAGGTTTCTACAGTTTATAACTGTACGGTCCCTAATCGCATGATGGAAACCTACGTTC